ACGATGACCGTCGCGTCTCCCGTCTCGTCTGCGAGGAAAAATAAAGGCTACAGGGCCACTCCACGACCTCCGTAACGTAACCGAACGAGGCGGACCAGGGACGACGAAGAACTGGTAAGAAGCGAATCCCACTCTTGTGACCCCCCGGCCGGGATCCGGGAAGTTTTCGCATTCGCTTATGGTGGACACAACCGTCAATTCCCGCCCTTCTATCAATGCGATCATCAGGTCCTCGTACGATCCAACTGCGACGCTGAAGGAGACATCGGGACTTGAAAACTCTCGCTTGTGGAAGCCATCGAGTCACTGGTCGTGCCCGAATGAGCCAATAGATTTCAAAGGCGAGGAAGTTCAGGCTTTACACCAAACGCTTCTTTATATAGAACAAATGTGTTCTTCTGTATTTTCCTTGCGGATTAGGAAGGGGATTTCTAAAAGTTAGTATTTTTTAACTGTTTCATTCCTCTACATGTAATCCAGGCCAATGTGTTAATCTGATGGGTCCATTCGATCTTCTCAAGCTGGTCACGCGGCATCCGCAGAAGAATTAGTTTCTCATGAAGAACAATAATTCTAGCATAAATTGACATGTGAACACAAAGTGTTTCTTTTTACTCTGGTTGATGCTCTCCCCTCTCGACGAAGAAGGCTCCGACACCGATCGTGCAGAACATGAGGACGTCCTCGAGGACGACTCCCGACTCCCCGTCCACCTCCATCGCCCGAGCGACGGCCTTCCCCCCGGGAAACACTCCCGCTCGCATCACGACGAACGTCCCATCGACTGGAAAGCGAATGCAATCCGGCCGACATGTAGCCGACGTGTCGCATGAAGCCAGGCGAGACAGGAGAAGTCCTTACTCACGGGTCGCGAAACTTTCGATGGCGACGACAGACGAATTTTCCCTCTCTCTGTACTCCCACTCGCCGAAGTCCATCGACAACAGCTGTCCCAATGTAAAAATCGGTCTCGCTCTTTAAACCATGCATCCTACATTATATAGCTAAAAACACCTGTTCTAGAGATAATAATATATATAATAATTTGAATAACACCAATTGGCAGTTAAACAGGAAGGAAGAAGAAAATTCCGTAACGTACATTTATTGTTTTCCATAACTATATAGATTTTTGCTTATAATGAATAGTTTTCATGACTGCAATCATTTCTTCTGGAAGACTGTTGCATGGTCTTCGCTTCGGTTTCGAGGAGATTCACGATTTATGCATCAAGGACTCTCTGCCGTTTCCGGTAGAACAAGATGTCCTTGATGTGACTAGATCGGATCAAGGTCTTTGACATCAAGGACACATCGTGGCATTTCTGCTCCAAAATCGTGGCTTCAAGCCTTTTTAAATTAAAATTTGTAAATTAAAAAGTAAAGACGTTCATAAATTAAAATTAGATAGGAACTCTGTTACCTCATGAAGCGTTTGCAAACGCTCTCAGTCTCACAATTTTCTTTCCAGGAGTATTCAATGTCTATCTAGTAACATGGAGAACTCGATGCATTCCCTGAAGAGTAAAAAAAAAAACATTTTGCCAAATATTTGACTAACATAGTGTTTTGCCGAAATTACAAGCGACTTTGACTTAATCAATCGACGCTTCAACCACGAACTCTTTTTCTGCTTCGAGGCGGACCATCGTGCCAAAAAGAGCCATCGTGCCAAAATCAGTCAATCGACTCCTGATAGTCTTGCAAGGTGGACGAAAACCAATTCATTCTTTTGCATGAAGTTGCCAGACGTTTAAAGCCGCGTTTAGCCGTGAAAGACTTGATAGCAGGCTCATGAGGGACTTACCACAGGCTCATGAGGGACTTACCACAGGCTCATGAGGGACGGTGGTCTCGCACAAGCTGCTGTCGAAATTGGCTGCGACTCGGTGGCCAGCCCGAAGCGCTGAGACCAGGTCCTCGAATGTCTCCAGGGGTCCTCCTGCAAAATAAATCTCCTATATAATATCATAAAATATCGTAAAATATCAAACTATAAAATATCATTAAATATCACCTCAAGCCGAGGACATTTTAAAATGTCTTCATATTTCCTCCTGAGGATCTTTCTTTTGTCGTTGCGGCATTCCCTTTCAGCCACAGCAAATTTTCACATTTCTCAAAATTTTGAAGTTCAAACTCCAAATTTATCGCATTTATAGATTGGATTAGGAAATTTCCTGCCTTCCTCTTGAGGTTCTTAAGGTGAAGGCGAAGCCACTGCGCCCAGACCTTGACCTTTGGCAAATCGAGATCAACGCAGCTCTGAGGTCTTCGATGCTCATTCATAATTCATCAAGGATATTGCGCAAGACTTTCACAATCGAGAAAAAATATTACAACTTCTTTCATTACAACATTACAGATATTACAACTTATTTATTGCAACATTACAGATATTACAACTTATTTATTGCAACATTACAGATATTACAACTTATTTATTACAACATTACAGATATTACAACTTATTTATTGCAACATTACAGATATTACTCAGGAAGGCATCGAGACACCGCTCGCACTTTCAGGACGCGTGATGGAAAGAGAGACCTTTCACGAGGATGGCCGGGAGGAAGGCGAAGAGGCGGAGGAGGTGTCCAAGCATGGCGACTTCCAACTTTTCCCACTCCGGTGCCCACCGGAATTCCCCCTGCAGTGCTTGGAGCTAGTGGAGACGATCTTGCCGTTGCTCCATATCTCTTTGTATATACCGTATGTACAGGGTGTCCCAAAATTGAGTGAAGATCGGGGTCTGGTTCGTATTTTCTGCTTCTACGTTCCTCCGCATTGTGGCAGCACATATCTTTCACGTTTATTCTGACTTTAGTTTATATTTTCTTTTGCTGGGTTTGGTCCTCTGGCAGTGCAATCGTCGTCCTCAGGGTGTACTGAGTGCCGACGTGAAAGTTATTTTGAGTATAACGACAACTGCTTCGGAAGAAGAGGCCTCTAGAGGAGACCATCCAAATCACCTGATTAAATGCGACTAAACTTCTTTCTGTTCCATTTCCTGAAGGAAGTTGTTTACATAGTCGCAATATATCCAGGAAGCGAGAGGCCAAATAAGTACTGCAATTCCCCTTTAAAACGTACGAACAATAGGCTAACATCAGATGGGTATTCGGCGCAAATAAAACCAGGAATATCTGCTCTAACGCATTCGGCGACTATGCCCATGGCGCTTTATCTATTGCGATGAGCACACAAGAGTAGTACATCATGAAAGCTTATGTTTGGTTAATTTTGGGACACCCTGTATATTTCCTCTCATCTGTCGACGTTCCCACGAAAAACCTCAACACATGATGCACGTTTACTGAAGCCGGGTATTTTTTTTCTGTCTTCCTTTACGAGTTTTTGCACGTACGCTCCGGCACCTACAAATTTCCAGGTTTCCACCAAATTTCTCAAAATTTCCCAAAATTTCCCAAATTTCCCAAAACCGCGATTCTCGGCGACATTCGGAGCGGAACGTTTGGCGCCATGATCGGTCCAATTTAAGGAGATTAGGGCGATTAAGGAGATGCAAATTCATTTTTCACATTTACCCTCACCAAAGACTCAATAGGATCTTAAACTGGAACCATACGTGTCGTCCTCACAATTAATATCAACATTTGTGGACATTAAGTGAAGCGAAAGTGAAGAAACGAAAGAAGTTGCAGGAACTGACGAGAGATGGCGCATGAACGCCGAATTAACGATTTCCACCCCGATGCCACTTTGATGAGTTTTCTGTATTTTTTCATGCAGTATTCGAGACTTTCCCACGTACAACTTACGGAAAATTTGGAATTTATTTTATTCATTTTAAGCGGCGAATGGAGATCCCTTTTTGAAAATTCTTGTGACTTGTGGCTCCTGGACTTGTGGCACGGCGGTGCTGAGGCGAAAGTTCCGATTTCACTTGGACTTGCGGTCCAAGACGCTGTGCGTTCCTTTCATTTGAGCAAAACAGCTGATACACGCGAAACAGCAAAATGTTGTCCTTTGTGATCGCTGGCAATGTCGAAATGTGTGCTGAGAGAGAACGGCCCGATTCTTTCTTCCAATAATTACTCAGATTGTTTATTGTGTACCTAGCTTCAAATCTCTTCATAATCTGCCCTGAGGAGTCATTTTTCAATAAGTGGATACAAACTCAGGAATCGCACGGGTATTTCTGCTCCAAGTTTCAACTTACTTTAGTTTTCTCTTTCATTGGATGAGAAAAGTTTCCGGGAAATGCGTTTTTGGAAAAAAAAATTTATGTAAAAAAAAATATATGTAAAAAAAAATATATAAAAAATATATGATTTTATCGAGAAATTAAAAATGTTCGTTTGCTCTTTTTGCCGGTGCAAAAACTTCTCTGGAAGGGTCAAAGCAGCCAAAAACTGGGACCTGAAGGGACCTCAGCCACCTCAAAACTTGAAAATTTTCTGAACTCATCAGGACAAAAAAAAAAATTGTTTGAAACAGAAACATGCCCCCAAGGCATGCATCCGAAACATTTTTCCCAGAGTCTCAGTAAGTCCATGTTAAGTTTCAGTTTTCCATGTTCATCTGTTCGACCGAAACAAAAAATTATTTTAAAAACATCCCCCTTTGAAATTTATGCCCTCGGGGTATTTACCTCCAAAGTCTGAGTTTTTCTGAATTCAGGTTCCCAATAGGCACTTATTTATGAAGTTTACCTTTTATCTCTGCTCAATTCGGTAGGACTAAAAAAATAATTCTTGAAAACGTCACCCTCCCAAAAATAATTCCCCCGTGGTATGCATCTGAAGTTGACTTTTTTTTTTTGAGTGTCTCAGTACGCAAGCCCGTGCCAATTCTCGGTTTTCCATGTCTCTCCGTTTGACTGAAGCAAATATATATAAATGAAAACATCTAAAAAAAAAATGGGTGCCCCCAGGGCATGTACCTCCAAAGTCGGATTTTTCCTCAACTCTGCATCCCAAAAGGTACATGTCTACCAAGTTTCAGATTTCTATCTCATCTAGTACATGCAATCCCTGAGAGCTTAAAATAATTTTAAAAAATGGAGACCGAATCAAGTTATATTCTGCATTCAAGCTTCTTCGGAGATGATGAGACCTTCACCGAGGGTGCATTCCACAACGACCTCCTCGAAGAGGTTCAAAAATTCGCCGGTCAGAGGATTGTAATCCCAAAAGCCGGGGAAGATTTTAGCCTGGTTGTTCCCGTCGATGCTCACGCCCCAGACCTCGTACGTGAACGCGGCGTGATCCGCGTCGTACCGACCGGAAAACGCGGACGCGAACAGCGTTTCTTCTTCCGCTGGAACCGAAGCGATTATTCCAGTCAATTATTTCTTACCATACCGACGGTATGATAAGGGAGAAAAGAGTGAAAACTTACTGTCGAGGTCGCGAACTAGGAGGTTTTGGAGGTGCGCGCGGACGATGCCATACGTGAACATCCCGCTTACATCCACGCACTCGCTGAAGTTGAGCTGGGCCGACAACTTCGCTCCGCTCAGCTCGGCCTTCACCACCAGCGCGTACTCCCTCAGCTCCGATCTGCGGAAAAACACTGACTTTGCATCGGAACGAGATTTGGCAACGCCAAAATGCTAAGAGCAGTTTTGGGATTCGTCCAGCGAGCAAATAACATCTTGGAAATCATTTTTTCATGATTAAAATTGAATTAAGCCCAAGGACGGCCTTGCACCAGTGAGAGGCCCCGGCCCGAACTTCTTTTAGTCTGTTTGGTAGTACTTCCTTTCATTGTGTAATTCAAAAAATTAAAATTAAAACTTCTTCACTTTCGTAGAACTCTTCCAGATACTTCTACCTCTCAGCAGTTCATTTCCCGCTTCAGAGTTGTGACTCCGAACGAGTTCAGGGTGTGGAAATCCCCCATGGCATCCGAATGCGATCCCATTTCAACGCAGAGAGCGACAGCAATTGGCGATCCGCTGATCGTGCTCGCCCGGGGCCAGTTTGAAAGCTGCAGGACACGCCGAGTTTTCTGGGGACTCCTTCGAACAGGTCACCCCTCGAGACAAAAAGTTGCCACAGATTTCAAACGTCTTCCCCTATCGTGTCTTAGGAGGAATATCGGGGACGAGGAATTCCATCTGCATCAGGATCGTAACCGGCCGTGGCGGTTACTTTGGCGTCCTCTGGCATCGTTCGTGCCAGATGGCATCTGGCCACGTTCGTATTTTCGAGCCACTGTCACATGGCAGCGCCGATTTGCTTAATGGAAACGTCTCTTCGGCGTTCAAAGAGTTTCCTTAAATAAGGGCATGTATCGACGATGAAACCTGAACTAAGGGCTCAAACCCGCTCATCCTTGAAAATTACATGATTTTCCCTGGAGATGAATTAAACGTGAAAGAAATATTTTTCATGGGCTCTGACGAATTTAGGGTATCGCTAAGGCTTTTCGCCGCGTCGAAACACGCGAACTCACTGGTCGAAAGCCGGCGCCGAGAACATGGACCCGGAGCCGATGGGACACGAGAACCGGACCGTTTCCGGCACCGCGCCGGGATCCGCCGGGTTCACCGTTTCCGCCGCGACCAGGATTTCCTCCCCGTCCAGCGTGAAGACTTGCTGCACGATTTCGCCCGCGACTTCCGAGAACAGAAAATCCCAGTCAGAAACGAAAAAAAATCCCGAACGAGCTCATGCGATTCCAGGACTTACGGTTCACGATGGATTGATAGAATAAGATGTCGGAGGAAAACCATCGTTCCCAGAGCTCCACCTTCGTTCCAGCGTACTAAAAAGCGAACAGAAAAAAAAATTACATGAAATCGTGACTCGTGATGAAAGACTGGCCCCTTTTTTGCAGTAAAGTGAAAGGCAGTTAAAGTTTTAAAAAACGCAAGATAAAAGCAGAAATATAGGCAATTATCCTCTTAAAATCTGGAAAAGAAGACCGGTGGGAAAAAAATCAGCGTGCGAAATGCGGCTAAACTCTTCTGAGAGGATTCTGCTCTTTTAATGAGGGAAATGGTCCACTTCACCGTAGCTTCATGTAGATATTCGAAAAGTGAGATGAATTTATCTGAGATGAATTTATCTGAGATGAATTTGAGATGAATTTACCTGAGACGAATTTGCCTGAGATGAATTTACCTGAGATGAATTTGCCTGAGATGAATTTACCTGAGATGAATTTGAGATGAATTTGCCTGAGATGAATTTACCTGAGATGAATTTGCCTGAGATGAATTTACCTGAACATGAGCTCTAGCTGACGAGATAAAATACGTAATTAGCCTCATGGTAAGTTCCTGTACTTCTTCTGGAAAAGCACGAGGTGCTGCCCGCTTCTGACTTGACAAAAGTAGATAGAACTGAGTGCAGTTCGAAAGACCAAATGTACTCAACTGCGACTTAATTACGGTTCATGTCCCGGCTCTTGACCAAAGTCAAAAAGATATTCTGGGAAGCCCCAACGCCGCATGTTCATGGTTCGCTGGACGTTCATTGAAGGCTGCTTGGACGTGAACTTTATTAAATAGTGTTTCATCATCAACTTTTGCAGTGACTGCTTGAGGGCAAGCGACAAAAGAGCAAATGAAAGCGATGGAACTCACGAGGATCCCGGGGAGATTCCCCTCGATCGGCGTGCACATCGGGATGTTCACGGCCGCTTGGATCTCCTTCCCGGCGAAGAAGGCGGCACTCAATTCGGAATATGTCCCGAATGAGTCGTATGCGTCGTCTGCAAAGTCAGAGAATCCCAACAATTATAAGGCCCAGTTGAATTTTCACTCTGTACTGCCCCTACAAAAGAATTTTACCGTTCCCCTCTCATTTACTGCTCTTTTACCTGTATTTTACCGCTCTTTTACCCGTCATTTACCGTTTGTTACCTACAGAATATCCCCTACCCCAGACTTACATCTTATTTCAAGAATACTCATGTGCTTGTCACTTCATATGATAGGTGTAACATTAACAATGAGACTCTGATTTAATCACAACACCCATATGGGTGTTGTGATTACACGCTGTGATTACACGATGACAAAGACACGCGTGGAAGAGAATCCTTGTTCGACTCGATTTGCCATCAAACTCGGACTAGACAAAGTTCAAAGAAGAACTTCGTAAATGTTGCTTTTAACCGATCTCTGGAAAAACTAGTTTTCGCGGGAAAACTATTGAAAACTGGTAAAAAAATCCTCATATTTTTTTTACCAATGGCAATACATTTCAAGTTGAGAAATATATCATTTCAATAAATGGAGAAAGTCGGTTCGACTTGCGCTTCAAAGCGTTACATAGGGTTGCGCGACTTTTGACACACCCTGTATAAAATTCGCCTATATTCCTATAGAGCTCGCAAGGTCTCCGCAGCAAGCGAATAAGAAAGTCAACCGCGACTTCATTTCCACGCAAATCCCTTCAACATCCCAGCGGCTTCTTCATTTCGGTTTTCGCTTTTATATCTACTATACATTAGATTCATGAATGATGTTTGAGGTCTACCTGCGGCAAAGTAAAAGTTGGCGGATTCCCCAAGGACGCACTGGAACCCTTCCTGGTCGAAAAACTCGTCCTGCCACGTCTGCGTGTTGTAGTAGTTGCCTCGGAACGACACGGACCCGTCCTGGCCGACGATGAGCCTCAGCATGGAATAAACTGTCTCGTCTTGAACTTGGCTGAGGAACAGGCCGGGCCACTCCACGATCACGGCGCCATCTCCCGTCTCGTCTACGAAGAACATCGACCTGCCGTGACCTTCCGTGACCTCACATGACCTTCGCGGACGAAACCGACCTGGGATGACGTAGAACTGGTAATACGAGGATCCGAACTCGGCGAGATTTACTTCCGGCTCGACGAAGCCTTCGCATTCGTTCATGGTCAGGACGATGCTCAGCTGACGCCCGTCGGTTAACACAGTCATCAGCTGGTCGTACGAACCCACTGCAGTGCTGTTAAAGACACGAAAATCTAAACTCAGCATAATTTGTTCGTGAATTGAATCATCTCTGCTACTCGTCTTCAGCGAGGAGTTGCCAAAATAATTTAATATTATATGCAAGATGAGAATAAATTTAAAAATTCATGAAGCTGAAAACTTGAGAGCGAGAATTTCCATGTCGGACGAAAAATCTGGAGGCGACAATACAGTTATATAAGTTGTTATTTAAGTTAAGCTTATCTTAAGCTTAAGTTAAGCTATATCTCCATCGAATGCAACACGAGAGACTACGTCGCGATACCATGGAGTGTTTCATGGGAAAATTAAATCCCGAACAGCTGGCAACCGTGCCAAATGGGAATTTGCGCATCATTCTGAAGTCAAATTATTTAATTTAAAAATTAAATCCTGGGTAATGTAGCGTAGTGGTAAATATTATTTGATATACGCGATGGGAAGATTCGCGAGAAGATTTGATTTTCTGGTGACGTCAAAGAAGTCATAAATTGCATTTCGACAAGCAAAAACGAATTTTGCGGCCTCCATTCAGCCAAAGAGGAAAAGTTTATCTGATCCTTTCGGGAAATTTTCGGCTTTCATTTCCACGAAAACCCATTAATGAGAAAAATTTATTTTAATCTAATTTTTTTCTTCTTAAATATTGACTCTTGCAAGCGGCGAATTGCTACAATGGCGATTAATTTTTCGTGCTTCAGTCAGAGAGAACACAGAAAATTGAATCAGCCGATCTCGTTCGTTCTGGCAAGTTCCAGGTTTATTTTAATTTTAATTTTTTTTAATTATCGATTTAGACATCGATGATTAATGGCACCAGCGAAATTGTAAAATTTTACTTACAAAATTTTCGGAAAGGAAACAGGTGAAAGGAGAAAGTTTCATCTTGTGGTAAATCTTTGGATCCTGAGTAACGCGTGTGCAAAATTTCGTTCTATATTCAGCAGTTTGGCCACAGCGAAGTTTAAATTTTTTTTTGAACTTGTCGAACCAGATCCTCCTCGCATGCCCCAAACCCCAAAGTATTTATTGGAACGTCATGTCACGTCACGTCACGTCACGCGTGACGCCTTTGAAATGGCTGGCATCCAATCCTGCGATTCCATTCGTCGACCACAAGAAGCTTAACCGGATCAACGGATTAGCCGAAAACCCCGGGGAAGCTCACTCGGGCTGGTGATTCCCCTTCTCGACGAAGAAGGCCCCGAGCCCGACCGTGCACGCGACCAGGAAGCTGTCGACAATCAGGTCGGTCTCGAACGACACCTCGAACCCGTTGATCTCCGCGCCCCCGTCCGACCCCGCGACCATAATAAGCAGCACGAAAGTCCCTCTCTCTGCACAAAAAAATCATTCACCACCCACGAAAATCCTCGGCGGATCCGCCTCACGGATCCGCCTCGCGAATCGCGATCCGCCTCACGTGTCACGAAGCTCTCGATGGCGATCACGCTCGCCAAATCCGCCGTCTCCTCGTATTCCCATTGACTGAAGTGCACCGACGCCAGCTGCCAAATAGTCGATAATTATCATTTCTAATTACTTGTGACTCTTATCATACCAGTACCACCACGACTCCCATCACTCTCTCATCGTTAAATTCTACATCGCTCTCATCTCATTCACGACCGGATATTTAATTCCATAAATGTACTGTAATAATATGTCGACGACGTCCCTCAATGCGCCTGCGGCAGTTCCGCGATTTTAGCAATCGAATTTCCATCGATCGACATTGAATTAGACTTGGTCTTGATTAAGTACTTTGTTAGCACTGATTAAGTACCGTCCTAGGAACACGGGAGCGCTGCAAGGTCGTCGGTGAAGAAAGAATGGAAGCGATAAATGCTAAAAATAAATCCCAAGGCTATCAGCATCGATAACCGATGTCGCCTCGCGGATTTCAGGTGGAATTTTCTTCCGTTTTCAATGGGAATCCGAAGAAGTGCAGAGAGTTTTCGTCGCAACTGAGGAATGCGTTGAAAATAATTTATATAAATTAAGATATGGCTACGACTTAGATGATTGAGAAACTTGGCATTCCGGAGATGCGAAACGCATGAGGATTAGTGGGATAATCTGCCAGCAGGGCTTCGTGGATAAAGACTCAGTAAAAACCGCAGCTGATCTCTACTTCAGAGATGTCTCAAATCCGGCAACTTCTTCGCGCTCATAGTTCATTCTTTCTCGGAATTTTGCCAATATTTTTTTTTGGCAGGGGGCCTGTACTGGCTATCCGTTAATATCGTCGTGAGGGGAGTTGTAATTATTAAAAAAATTCAGGTCGACATTTCATAGTCTTATACGATTTTCACGTCGAAAATCTCACGATGGACTCACGAAGGGTTCCGGGGTGTCATCGTGTTCGCACAATCTCGTGTCGAAATTGGCAGCAACTCGATGGCCGGCCCGGAACGCTCTGACCAGGTCCTCGAACGTCTCCAGCGGTGCCCCTAACGTGACCAGAGGAAAAAAAAAACAACAACCAACAGTTTAATTGACCAGAGGAACAAAACACGAACAAATTACAAATTACATCAAATTACACCGCAACTTTTCCTTTTAAACTTCCTTTTTTTAAATATACAAATTTCGCAACGACTGCAGTCAAATGCACCCGGTTGGGTCGCTCGTCAGCTGAAGCAAATAAGGGTCAATGAGAAAATTTCCGGGAAGGACAGCGTTGAGTAGTGGGAAAAGGATGAGAAAAGGATGAGAAAAGGATTGCCTTTAAATGACAGATCTGCGCCGGCAGGCTGGGGGAAGCCTAGGGAGGCAGGCCGATCCTCGCATCGACCTCCACCTGAGATGCATCATGCAATTGGCACTCCATCCGCTCCTCGCCCTCGTTTGGGCGCCGCGAGTCACGTGACTCAGAAATCCGACGACCAGCGAATTGAGCAGTTGAGCTGGGTGTAAATGGCGAGTCTTCTATCCATCTGACTACCAATCCTTCTGAATAGAATTCTTTTAAAAAAAAGTTATCTGGAGCATTTCAAGAATTGTTTAAAGATACCTACAGTAACACACGACGGACTACGCACGGTAACTTTTTTTTTTGTTTTGCTGAAATATTGCATTTCGAGATGGATAATGCCTCTAGTGCAGGGCTTCCCAACCTTTTTCGCGCGCGACCCCAAAAATCACTTTCGTACTATTCACGAGACCCTGCACTGAGCGAAATTAGACAGACTCCCCTACCTATGCGCTAAAATCGCAAAGAAAAACGTAACTTTGCACTTAGTTGACGGTTCGCGACCCCAAATATTATCTTTGCGACCCCAAATGGAGTCGCGACCCCTGGGTTGGGAAGCCCTGCTCTAGTGATAACGTAGGGAAAAAAAATTAAATTCAACACAGGAATCTAGAAAGTGACGGGCCGAGTCGATTCGCGCGTCAATACTGAGCGAAGCCACCGACAGCCATCGCTTTAAGCTGCTGGATTGAAGAACCTCGTAGACGGCGTTGATTTTCGCTCTCTGGCGGATACGTGAGTGGTGGTTATGCGATGCGTCGGATCCCCTAAATGCCCCTAAATTCCCCTAAATTCTAAGCGGATGTCCGTTTTAGAAAGGCCATACCGAAGGCGGCCGGGAGGAAGGCGGCAAGGCAGAGGAGGAATCGCAGCATCACCATCGAAAACATTTCTCACTTTGGCGTAGAAAAAAAGACTGGATCGCCTCCTTATATTGGATGGTATCGCGATAGGCTGCCAGACCGTCTCCCCAATTCCCTCTCACCTGGTCGCGTTCTCACAAACGCCTCGTCACGTAATCCAGGCTCTTCGTAGTCACGTCCTCCATGACCTATATATATATAGAACTAAATATAAGGTACAAGAAAAATACGAAATGATGAAATTACATAACGTATAAACTCGTATATATTGGGTATGTGAAATTGTCACATTGCCTCCACACTATCACAGGGAGACATTGTACGAGAACTGTTTACCTGTATGACTGCCCCATGTGGTCAATCAATCACCCTGTGACAGGATCAGACTGTCCCGAAATCTCATCGATCACAGGGTGACAGATCACATGTGGCCGGACATCCTGTGACACGCTCACATGTGACTGGGTCACATGTGAACATGTCATAGGATTATGTCACAGGAGACTTCCGTCTCGAGAAGTGGGAGATTTAAAACCCAAGGAAAAGGAAAAAATAGCTCAACTAATAGCAATAGAGTAACCTTGAGAGGTTACTCGGTACTCGGCTATTAGTTGAGCTAAGAGAATGCTGGGGAGAGTTTGAGGAATTCCAGAGCGACAATGAAAGCCTCGCTATAAACGAGTGTTGCCTCGTTTTGCAAGTTCTCCTTGGGAAGAGCAAAATCCGAATTCAAAAGAAAAGTCCCAGATAGGATTGCCAAGGTTTCTTTTCCGGAATAATCAATTACCGGACCAAAACTACTTTTGCCTGCACCTCATTTGATTTTTTTCTTCTTTAAAAATTTGGGATTTTTCTATGAAAGGAGGATGGTTTGACTGTTGACATGTCTATGTGAGGAATTCCAGTTCCCTTTTGTCCTGTGAAGACTGAGAGTCCCAAGTTTCCCTGCCTGGAAATTGGACACTGCATCATTAATCAGGATTTTTTTTTATCGTCAGGATATCCTACATGACAGCAATCCTTGAAGAAATGGCGCGTGTTTGATATTGACTGGACACCTAAGGCGTTCATCCATTCTCTTCTTTCAAAAGAATTTGGGAAGGCATGAAATGCCAAATTCTCTTTTCTATTGTTACGATAGGAAGCCTCACAGCCAAAAAAACCACGCAGATTTTTCCACTTCTTTTACCCATAGTTCAATCTAATTGCCCTGATACATGCAATTTTCCCACCTAACGAATGGAAAAAGCAGCCAGCGAGAGGAAATGGCGAGAAGCTAAGAGTGACTACGAGGGAATACCAACGGATGAGAAAGAATAGACTACACATCGAAAAACATTGCGCAAGGGAAGTCAGAGATCGCGAAAACAGCGAAGAGGGAGAAAGATGAGATGTCCTTCCGCCTCGGCTGCTGGGGAAAAAGTGAGCCGAAAGCGTCCCCGAGGGCCCCTTTTATACCCCATCCTTGTGACGTCACTCTGCATGCGCGTGTCTTCACGACCTCCTCTACGCTGGGGGTTGGTTTCATCTCACTTTCGAGGCATATGCGCATTGAAAAATCATTTCGACGAAGAACAAGGGGAAAACGAAGGAAGCCTCGCTCTTGAAGGGAAAGTGATTCGCGTCGTCTTTCGGTTCAGCTTAGAATCAAGAGTGGAATTGGCTCATGTTAAGGTACGGCTTCCGAACAGTGGTAATACCGAAGCTGAAGTAGCAGCGTATCAAAAAGAAGTTTATAGACGTAAATATGCGCTTCCTTCCCGTGTTTATGCGACGCCCTAACGGTTACGTGAATCCTCATTCCCCCAATTTCGATTGGCAATTTCGGAATTCAACTGGGATTGGCACCGAGAAGGGAGGGGGAAGATGGTTAATTTCTATACGCCCCAGGTTAATATGAAAGCGTCCCAGGTTAATTTCTATACGCCCCAGGTTAATATGAAAGCGTCCCAGAGCGATGAAGAGACATGCAGATACATTTCTGACGTCCCGATTCCAATCTCAGGAACTTTCGAATGAACGGATTCTTTTTAAAATCCCATCTGCAATATTCAATACGACTCTGATTGCATTTGGCTATTTATAAACGGAATTATTTTCTCCATAAGTAACACCCCGATTTCTCTCGCTTCCATTTCTCCTCTCTATCAACGTTCGCATCTCTGCTATCCGTCTGCCGGGAGCTTCAGGAAAGGTTCGCACGACCAAAGTCAGATGGCGCCAAAGTAGCCGCTTCAGCGAGTCCATGTCATCGACAGTCCTCACTTCGACAGTCCTCACTTCGACAGTCCTCACTTCGACAGTCCTCACTTCGAAAGAGGGGAATCCCGTGCGAGGCGTCTTTCACTTTTTAATGCGGAAGTGGAGTCAGATGGAATGGGAGAGTCCATTTCCCTTCCCGTCACGCACGTCCGGAGCCGGGAAAGGAAAAGTTCTCTCAAATTCCACTAATTTTATGAGCATCACCGTCTCGTCCCACTTCTAGGAAGTGGCATGGAATCTACTCGTCAACCAAGTATTTCCGACTCGGAAGTACATCTCGGAAGCACATCTCGGAAGTACATCTCGGAAGTACATCTCGGAAGTACATCTCGGAAGTACATCTCGGAAGTACATCTCGGAAGTACATCTCGGAAGTACTCGATGGCGTATTTATTTATTTTTTTTTACGGATTCTTTTATTTTTGTTTCCCCGGAAGAAATTTGTTTGAGGCGTTAGTCCCGTCGACGAATTTCTGGAGAAACTGTGAATGACATGGCTCAAACAAAACCCTGTCATCCGTTAATTCAGCAATTTCTTATCCTTTAATCGCGCGAAAGGAAAGAAGCAGGTTCATAAGTCGATTAGCTACTAATTATCTCTATTAGCGAGTGGATGAACGAAAGCGATGAAAATCTATCGAAACACGTCTGATTACCGATTCCCCATTTCGTTTTCTGAAATGGAACGTTCGCACGTTCGCGTAACCTTAATAAGCCCTCGATTGTGCCTGGACCAATCAGATTGAATATTTTCTCACGATCGTACAAATTCGACCGAGAATTTTAAAATGCTCTTTTGCCCGGTAAACCATATGGACTCGGACGTCTGCGGCCAGACTGCCTCCGCAGTCCAAGTCGGACGCTACCATAACGTCCACGGACGTTTCCAACGTCCACGGACAAAATCGGTCATCGACCCGGCAAAACTTCGGGACGAATAAAATATATACACATACATAAACATAAATGAACATAAATAAATCAGTGCGAATTGCATTTTTCACCGCGAAGTAGTGCATCGCCAATAACGGAAAGGTCACGATGGCCTCGAGGAAAAGAAAAAAAAATGAAACATTCAATTTTTCAGACCGCCAAGTAGTAATTTCGATATCTTCCTGAAATCATCCAATGAACATTTCATAATTTTCCCACATTGAAGCCTCGTGACCGATGTGGTTGACTTCATGACTACCCATTCCACATCTGAGCTTTCCCCATCTGCAGAAGTCAGAATCTTCCCTAGAGCAAAAAAAAAAGAGATATCGCTGTCCAGCGAGATCCAAGAATTTTCCCCTATAAAAGTCTACATCCCAGGATGATTTGGAAACAGGTGGATATCCCCATAGGCGTACTTCCACCTCTTTGAGAGATACCTGGGTGGGACATCCACCTGGTTCGAATTCCACCTGGGTGGGACATCCACCTGGTTCGAGGACCTCTTTACCTGGCCGTTCAGCCAGGTGCATGCAGGTTGGCGTTTCGCAAAAGGTTCCTTACACATCCAACCAGGCACCCAGTTCAACAATTCGTTCCAGATACACTTGATCAAAACCAGAGGCATACTCTCTCAACGCGGAATCGCTTCGACGAGTTTCAATCTCTGTTTTTGCTGGGATGCGGGAATAAAAGGATGTTTGTGCGAATTTCGTTACTGGGATTTTTTCTCCCGCTCTGAGTGGCAATGCCTGATAGAAATTCGGAGAGACAGCGGGAAGGACATAAAAAGTTTGATACTCTAGGCATACGTGCCGTTTTCGCCATTTGCGATGCAAACTTTCGCAATGAAAAGTGAAATCAGCTGTGAGTTATTCACGGTTTTCGTGCGGTTTCGAGTCTCATCGACGTCGATTGCCGGATTTCATGTAAAAACTTTTCCGGGTCGATGAGATTCCGTTCGTGTCAGGTGCTCATTGCCGAAATCAATTGGTTTTCGCAGAATCAAGGAGACTACGAGTGATGCAAGAGATGCTGCAAGAGATGCAGAGATGCAAAGATGCCAGAGTTAAGAGCAAACTCACGTGAATATGAATGGGATTTTTATTCCACACAGTTGACGATATATTATTTATAAAAGGATGAGAATCTACTGAACATGAACAGGGAAAGTTATTTCAAGACATTGATGGTAAATCGTCTACAGAGGTGATAATTTTCACGTCGTATTCATACAAAGATAATAAAGAATCGTGCAGGGTAGATGATTTGCTTTTTTAAACTTGGACTGTTGAGATGTCAATTTAAAAATGCGACACAGAGAAAATGACGGGAAAAAAACGCTAGCTTCTTTTAGGCGTAAATGGGGAGCAGCACGATCAAAAAAGGAAAATTATTTCGCATAATTAGTCTTCAAATGAGATTTCCAAGATACTGCTTTTACGGCCCTTTCCGGTCGTCTTCCGCGACGATCTCAGAAGACTTCCGCGACGATCCCAGAAGTCTTCCGCGACGATCCCAGAAGACTTCAAAGGCGAAGGCGACGACGCCGAGTCCATAGCCGATGAGGAGGGCGAAGAAGGCCCCTGTGAAGTGAACCAGTTTCAGCTTCTCTCTCGCCTCCTGCCTCTGCACGCGCTGCTGCCGTCGGTGCTCCGCCCTCTGCCCTTCCTTCGTCATCGGCCACAAGGAATTCTGGTAGATTGTCAGGCGCGTGAGATAATCCAAGATTCCGACCTGATGAAGAGTGATGATGGTTCGGTCGAAATGCGAAGTCAGCGGAGAATGCTTCACGAGGGTCGGAGCAGGCATGAAAATATCGACGTTTTCCTTCGACAT